ACAGGCACCCTCACACTGCTCAGGAGAAAACAGCAGGGTTGGGGTGGAGGGGGAGGATTGTGTGGGTGAGGAAGATGGAAGGCAGAGATCTGGAACAGGAGGGACTGCAAGAGGTGATAGAAGCTGGACCTTGTGGATGTGGGAAGGGAGTGAGACTAATGGGACTGTGCTTGCAATTGAAGAGTGGAGCTCTCAGAAGGACTGATAGATCAGGTGTGAGACAGACCAATTACAGTTTGTGGACAGCATCTGGAGAATGGGGAAGGTAAAGTCTGGGTCTCCTAGTCACCAAATATTTGTGAATTGCCAGTGGCTTACCACATGGGGGAGCAGTGAAACCTGAATTATTAACTCCTTGCCTGGGGAGAGGTCAGGACGTGAGGTAGAGATTTGGGCCTCTCAGAGCTTCTGTATCTTCAATTATCCAGCCACTTCAATCTACTGGAATAGGGTAAGTCAGTAACCCCTTCCAATCTGGAGCTTTGGGGACAAATTCAAATTTCTCTTGATCCCACCTGCATTCTCAAATTCTTTGGGGACAACTTAAACAGACATATGGATTGAAGATCCAATTTTAAAAAGCAATAACAGAAATATGCTTTGATGAATATGCAGCACTCATAGGGAGGACGATTAATGGATTTTTTCATTCTAGATCAGTAAGTAATTCTGTTAAATTCACTTCAAGGATTAGGTACACTCCTTTGAGCACAGTAAATTACAGAAGAATCTCCACAGTTCAGTCAACTCAGACACAAGGGTTGTAGAATAGAATGAACATGGTTATTTGCAAGGTATTTTTGCAGATTCCCTGAAAACTAACCCCATGTCTCAAAGTGGTTATGTCATCCAACCTTTGAGGTATTGGCCTACTGAATTATAATTTTGCAAATGGGAAAGCACACTCTGATGCCAATGACTGGATTAAAACCTTTAAAAATATGTTTAATCAGGCCCTCCCTGGTGGTGCAACAGGTTAAAGTACAACACTATGAAGCTATTGGCAGCCACTGCAGCATGGGTTCAATCAGCCAGGAGCTGACCTACATGGCACAGCAAACCTCTCCTGTCTTGTCTGCTGCTCCCCTCAACAGTATATTTCAGCCAATTTGTCTGTTCGGTTCCCCACTCTGTCGCTGATGAATCCTCTCACAGCTTGCTCCTCTGGCCTATATCCCAGTGATGGTACTCATAAATAAATAAAATCTTTAAAAAATATATGTTTGATCAAACTTTTACAATCCAATCTCTACTTGGAAGTAATACTTGGGGCCTCCCTGGTGGTGCAGGGGTTAAAGACACAGTGCTATCAAGCTATTGCCAGTCATGATAGCCACTGCAGCCACCCAGGTTGCTAAATCACATGGCCCAGCAGACCTCTCCTGACAGTCCCAATGCTCCCCTCAGCAGTGTACTTCATTGACCTGTCTGTTCTGTTCCCTAGTCTGTTTCTGGTGAATCCACTCACTACCCCTGCACCTCTGGCCTGTACTGCAGTTCTATATGCATAAATAAATCTTTAGAATATATATATATATATATATATATAAACATAAATAAATGGACCACCCCCATTGAACTTCATGCCTGCTTTAAAAAATTATAGTTTAATCCTAATTGCCTAAATTCATCCCTACTCACTGAATTTGATTATCTGTTGAATTTGAATACTTAAGGGAATCTCTTGACCTTGCGGGTTTGGGAAATCCCAGTGACCCTTATGACATTCTCTCTCAAGAGGACTCACTCTTTCAAGGGGACACTCTGTGCCCAAATTCACAGCGAATCCCCTTCAGGCAGACATATGCTCATAAATAAAGGCAAAAGATCCAGAGAGATAAAAGATAGTTCATTATACTAGCTACAATCACAGGTACCCACCCACCATAAACACATTGGTCACATTCATGCAGACAAACTTATCCATGGAAATACAGATAGCAAAATACATGCAGCATTGAAACAGAAAAATATTCAATTCCTGAGAGTGATAGATCGTCCTCGACCCAGTTAGGTTAGACCCTGAAGGTTAGACATTACCAATAGATTTTCCATTACATAGGCCAAAATTTTCCCACTTTTGCTGGAGCACACTTGAAATTAATGTTTTTGTGGCTTGCAGCCTGCCAGGTGAAAAGATACAGAAGGGAGGCATTTTGAGGTGGAAGGCTGCATTTGCAGAAGTTTGGGGGTATTAAATAGTATGACTGGTGTCAATCTGTACTATAGTGAGTACAACGGTGATGGCTAGAACGTAGGTTCTCAGGCTATCTAGCAGGAGACAAAGCGTCAACCCAGGCGTAGGTGAAGGATCTAAGACTCTGAGAGGCTGCAAAGCCATTCCAGACTCTACAGCAGTAGGAAAGCGCCCAGCGGCTTAGAACTACAACTTCCGGCATGCAATGCGAGTTACCCGTTCCCTCATGATTTGTCCCAACTCTGAGCCTGGTGATTGGTGCCTTGGGATGCTTGTCAGACCAGAGTCAGGTTCTGATTGGTGAAACTCCCAAGAGGTGCACCGCGCCACAGGCCCTTGGGTCCGCTCACCCGCGACATGGTGAGCCCGCCACCCCGGCGTAGGGGACCCCACCCCGGCGTAGGGGACCCTACCGCCGGGGATCCCGCGAGGGAGGTCTGGGGGACATCAAGGGGACGGGGTCTCTTTGTGGAGGTTGGGCGCTCTGAGGGACGAGGGAGGGTCTAACTGCGGGCCATGTGTCAGAGCCTCTCTGTGGGACCAAGGAGACTGGGAGACCCCGAGCGTTAGGGATCTTTTGGCAAATCTCTAAGACTCCTCTAGGGGCCGGAGTCGAGGGGTCCTAGTCCTGCGGAGGGGACTGGAGAAATCTGCGAGGGAGGCCTTGCAGGGAGGGGGATCCTGCTGGAGCCCACGGTGCCACGAGGGCCCTTTGGTACCAGTGTGGTCTTGCTAACTGGTTCCTCTGCGGGTTCCCTGATGCAGGACCACGAACACTCCTGGAGCCAGATGAGGGCTACCGGGTGTCCTGGAGTGGGTGAGAGTCCTGGAACTGGACACTAGTTGTTAGAATTCTAAGGTCTCCCCTGCTGTGGGCACAACTCTTCAAATTTAGTCCTGTCCCAGCTGGCCAGGTCCAACACCTGAGAGTTGGGACTGGGCAGAGGGAGGGATTGGGGTGGGGGAAAAGGGATCAGAAGGTAGCCCAACCCTGCTGCCTCAAAGCAGGCTTTGAGGTGGGCCTAAAGTAGGAACTCCGGCAAAGTGAGCATGTTCCAGGCCACAGTACAGGACACTGTGGGAGGTGCGGCCAGAGGGATGCAGGAAAGTCACAGTGACTTCTCCATCTCAGGTATCTAGGGAAAGGCTTTGAGCAGCAGAGGGAGTGGGCTGATGAAAGGCTACAGCAGATTTTGGAGAGGTCTGCATCTGGATCTGAGGCTACTGAGGGGAAGGACTTGTCCATCACTGGACAAATCTGGGGAACTTTGAGTGGAGAAATGCTTGCCTTACATCTGTGCTTCCTTTTCCTCTTTCCTCCCATCCCTTCCTCCCTCCCTCTCTCCTTCCTCCCTATGTGATAGGACCTCACTGTAAACCGTGGGTCTTCTCCAGAAGAGGTGGCAGAGGGTGATGGGTCAGTGGTAGAGAGCCAAGGGTTCTGCAGGGCCTCAGTTCCTATTGGTTGGCTGCAGGGAGGCTGGGGAGAGATCTGTGCAGTGAAGTGGGGGTCTTAGGCTGGACCTGGCAGACTGCAGAATTGCAGTTGTGTGTTAATGAAGACTGGGAAGGGCCGGGGTCACTTGGAGGGGCTAGTGATGGTCAGTGCTGGTGCCTTAGGGGAAGGGCCTGGGGGGGGGGTGGAGAAGGCCTGCAAGTGGGCAAAGGAGTTGGCCTAGAGCTGGGAGGCCTGATGTTTGGGGGACTACTAGTAAGACGGGCAGGGGAGCACCTGGGAGGAATCAAGGAAGGTGCTAGGTTGGGGGGGAGGGGACACTAGGAGGAGCAGCTCTGGTAGGATGCCCTGAGGGCTCAGAGGCTACACCCTATCCCATTGCCCTTTGTGCCCACCTGTCATTCTATACTTCGGGGTGGGGAAAAGAGCAACCCGCTAGAAAGAACTCATCCTGACAGTGGAAAAGGTCTCTGGCCTTGGTTTACAAGTCCCAGGCAGAGGGAATCTATCCAAGGGGTTATTTTCATGGGGGATTGCCTAGCTGTCGTTCTGATTGACAGTGCCAGGTGGGCTAGCACTACAAGCTTTCCCTATTAAAGTTAGCTTATTCTGTCTGATTAAAGCAACTATAAGAATTAATTTTAATGTTAAAGTCATCTTTATTTCACTTTAGTTAATTTTAAGCTGTAAGACGAGTAGACAGCTTTCCCGAGAACGTAACTTTATACAATTCTGTAATTATTGCTAGTAAATCAGTATGTACCTAAGCAGGAAACCCCGCCTTCAGCTTTTAGACAAATTACCAAAAATATTTCTTCTAAAACTTAAAGAAATAACTCTGTGAAAGGATGTTAAGAATTATGGTTTTAAAAGGTTGCTATGGAAAATTTGATGAGAATATTCCTAATGAAAGAGAAGTCAGTGATCCTACTGAGGCACTAGGTCTTTACCCTCGGGTAGTGGTGTTCAGAAACAGCCAGCTGTCCAGCAAGGCTGGAGAATGGAGGAGATGTAGCCACTGGGGCTCATTTTAGGCTGGAGAGCTTTGGCTGGGTGAGCTGAAGCTAGAAACAGTGGTGAGTGGGTGGGATGGACAGCGGGTAGCCGCTACTCCTCAGTGATCCCTTGGCGGTTGGGGTCTAGGTTGGTGGTTGTGAGCAGTAAATGAAACAAAGCTGGAAGTACCCATTTTCAGTTAAGAAAATTGGGGTTCAGGAGATTAGCACCTGAAATCCACAGTGGAGGCTGCAAGAGAACCATCTTTGCTTCTGCTCTCTGTTCACCCCTGCCACAGCCACTTGGGGGATTCCACACTCAGCAGGGGCTCTCAGGGTTGGGGGGAGGTTCCCCTACCCCCCTGCAACTGTCTCTATAAATAGCCGGGTTGGAGGAGTGAACTTGCGACCCTCTGGCAGTCACTGCCCGTCATGTCCCCTCCCACAGGCGGTGCTCGGCGTGCAGCTGGTGGTGACCCTGCTCACTGCCACCCTAATGCACCGGCTGGCTCCACACTGCTCCTTCGCACGCTGGCTGCTCTGCAATGGCAGGTGAGCCCCACCATCTTGGCGTTGGGGTCATGTCCTTTCTGGCCCTCCAGTCCCACCTCAGCCATACCACCACATGGAGATCTCACTGGCAAGCAATAGCTGCAAGCATTTGAAGTGCACAGCTGGATGCATTTTGAGGATCTGTACACTAGCGACGCCATCAGAGGTTCCCCCATTCCTTCTCTTTCTACCCTACTTGCTGTGGATCTCCTCACCCCTCCTGCCCCCATGCTTTTTTCCCTTTTTGGGCCTGGAGCCCTTTTGAGATTCTGAACTCTTTTCCTGGCACAATGCACATACTTGCTCTGTGGGACAAGAGCTGACAACTCAGGGGTATCCAGGACCCAGCTGCAACCCCAGCCAACTCCTATTCTGCCTTCTGAGCCTTCCCCTGTCCTTGATGACGCCTGTCCACCCTGTTCTGGGCATCCCTCTGACTCCAGCCACCAGGGCTGAGCTCCTCTGACCACTCACCTTGCCCTCAGTCTCTTCCGGTACAAGCACCCATCCGAGGAGGAGCTCAGGGCCCTGGCAGGCAAGCAGAAGCCCAGAGGCAGGAGGGAGCGGTGAGTGACCCCAGCTTTGGTGGCCATCAGGGCACAGGGCCTGCCCTGCCTACCACACTGTCTGCCACGCTGGGCACAGAATGGGACACCTTGGGCAGAGGAGGTGGTCTCCCTCATTCACTGGTTGCATCTAACATTTATTGCAAATTTGCTCCGGGCAGGTAGTGCCACCACACAGGTGTGCAGGGGACACACAGGCTGGGGCAGGGGAGGAGGTACCTTCTAGATTACCCTGTCGCTGGGTGAGAGGTGAACCCTGGGGGTGGGGTGGTTGAGCTGACTTGGGGGGAGGGAGGATGTTGCTCTGATGCTCCCCCTCCAGGTGGGCCAATGGCTTCAGTGAGGAGAGGCCTTTGTCGGTGCCCCGAGATGCCCCTTTCCAGCTGGAGACCTGCCCCCTCACAGCTGTGGATGCCCTTGGTAACAACCCACCCTGTCCCGGCCGGCCCTGCGGGTTGTCGGTCCATCCCTCTGGGTGGCCCAGGGCTGAGCACGTGTCCCCACAGTCCTGCGCTTCTTCTTGGAGTACCAGTGGTTCCTGGACTTCGCCGTGTACTCGGGTGGCGTGTACCTCTTCACGGAGGCCTACTACTCTGTGCTGGGCCCGGCCAAGGAGGCCAATATTGCCGTGTTCTGGTGTCTGCTCACCGTCGCCTTCTCCATGTATCCTTTTGGGGTTGAGATGGGGAGCAGCGGGCCGAGGTTTGCTCTCCCTGATGATCTGTCGGATGACCGCTGTGCCACAAACCTCCCTAGAATTTGGTGGGTTGAGCAGCCATCATCTCATTTGCCATGGTGTGGACTGGGGACATGGTCCCCTAAATGCCCCACCAGCTTCCTCACCGTAATAGCTGAAGCACCGGCAAGAGGGTTCTGCAGACCTCTGAGGCTTTGCCAGCTCTACACACCTTACTTAGCCCTGTCCATTCTCCTGCAAATTTTCAAAGCTACATAGCCAAGGCAAGCCTGCAGATTTGAGGTCCCAAGTCCTCAAAGAAAATGTCCTTGTGAAGAAGGGAAGCCCCTCTTGAAACTGTTGGTCTAAAGAAACAAAAATACCAGTTCTTTTCATAGCAAAATGGTTTATTTAGGATAGCAGAAGAATTGCCATTTGGGGAATGCAAGGTATGGTGGACTGCAGGCAAATTTGGGAGACCAAGGAGAAGGGCTTGCTGTTACAGGTAAAAAGGGGAAGCAGAGTAGGCTTTGTCTGTTTAGAAGTGTAGGGAGGGGACAGGGGCTTCCCTGGTGGTGCAAGGGTTAAAGTCTAGCACTATCAAGCTAGCACCAGCCACTTAGCACTGAGTTCATCCCAGCCCAGTCCCAGCCTGGGAGCTGACCCAGAGCTAACCCTTGTGGCAGGCAGCCACTCCTGACCCGCCCGCTGCTCCCCTCCGCAGTGTACTTCAGTAGATCTGCCTGTTCTGCTCCCCGCTCTGTCTCTGCTGAATCCTCTCACCCCCACACCTCTGGCCTGTACCCCAGTTCCTGTATGCATAAATATATCTTTTTAAAAAATAAAAAAATGCTGGATAGCTCCTTTGGGGCAGAAATGAAGAAAACAAGCACATAAAGGTTAGGGCTGAAGTGTGAGAGCCTCCCCTCACCCCCCACATCTTTCTGATGCTAATTTTATCAAGATTTTCTTCATTGCCACAAAACCTGACTCTCAAAGGCCCTGTGAGTGTCTTTCAGGACAGTTTGGGAAATAGCCCTAATGCCTCTGGTAGCTTGTCAGAGGAACTCTTTACTTACTGTTAAGTTCAGCCAGGCAGGGTGGGCTGGGGAGACCGGAGAGGAGAGATACTTGGTGTCTGTTTCTACCTGGTCACAGGCAGTATGATGAGGCCACGCTGTAGGCCTGGCCCAGGCACCACCCTACCCCACCACACAGGCTTGAGCGCATTGTGCCCCTTGTCTACGACTTGTTCCTGCTCCATTGGACTCCAAACCCAAACTTCAGTGTTTGTGCTGTGGCATTGGGGGAGGTTACTGACAGTGTGAGGGTGAGCAGAGGCATACTCCGAAGCCTCCTTAACCTTGCCTTCAGCAAGGTGTTCCTGATGGTGACCCGGCTGTACTTCAGCGCCGAAGAGGGGGGTGAGCGCTCCGTGTGTCTCACCTTCGCCTTCCTCTTCCTACTGCTGGCTATGCTGGTGCAGGTGGTGCGGGAAGACACCCTCGAGCTGGGCCTTGAGCCAGGTATGTGCAGTGCAGGTAGAGGTGAAGTCATACCTCCATCAGTCCCTCTGGAAAGCTGGCCCAGGAAGTGGTCTAGGTGGCTTTCTTACTCACACACCATGAGTCAAGCCTGGAGTCTGCGCAGTCCCTGTGGGTGCTTAGATCCTGGGTATCCTTTGGTCTTTGGGGTGAAAGGACATCTGACCTCACAGTCTGGCAGACACCACAGCTGTGGTCTTTTACATGGGCACTTCTGTCCACTCCATTGTGTCCTCACTCAGCAGCTAGTGATGTCCTATGGACCTATTCTAATTTAATTTGGACAGGAAGGGCCTCCCTGGTGGTGCACTGGATTGAAGTGCAGCACTATGAAGCTTTCCCAAGCCACTACAGCACCCGTTCCATCCCCAGCCAGGGAGCTGACCCACATGGTGCAGCAGACCTCTCCTGACCTGCCTGCTGCTCCCCGCAGCAGTGTATTTCAGTACACCTGCCTGTTCTGCCCCCTACTCTCTCTGGTGAATCCTCTCACTCCATACCTCTCGCCTGTACCCCAGTTCTTGTATGCATAAATAAATAAGTTTTTAAAAAAGTAATTTGGAAAGGAAAAGAAATTAGTGAATGGCACAGCATTTATGTACAAGAGAATATAGAGTGAAAATCACGTTTCCACACTAGTTCTCCCAGACGCAGCCTAGGGTTCCTCTTTGCTTTATTCACGTTAGATAGTAGCATCTATGGTGCCACACCTTGTCCTCCCTTAGAAACAATCAATATGGGAGGCCGTTGATACTACATGCAGTGACACTACCTTCAGTGTCATTTCTGTTTCTAAGATTTGTTTATTTATGCATACAGAACTGGGGTACAGGCCAGAGGTGCAGGGGCAGTGAGAGGATTCACCAGAGACAGTGGGGAGCAGAACAGGCCGACTGACAAAGTACACTGCTGAGGGGAACAGCGGTCGTCGGGTCAGGAGAGGTCTGCTGCGCCATGTGGATCACTTCTGGGAGGGGATTGAACTCAGGGGATGGAACTCATGCTGAAGTGGCTTTAGCTTCTTAGTGCTGTGCTTTAACCTCCTGCACCACCAGGGAGGACCCTTCTGTTTCTATTTTTTAATAATAGCTATGTAATATTTCATTTTAGGAAGTTTTGATTATTTAACCAGGCCTTTAGTTATGGATATGTAAGTCTTTGACTCTTAAACATTGTTGCACAAAATCTTGTTGTTTAGGAATAACCTTCTATATGTGTCTCTCATCAAGAAAGTACATTTGTAATTTTGATAATATTGCAAATTGCCCTTCAGAAAAAGATGGATGAGCAGGCTGATTCCTCTCCAATATGTTTTCTTAGACTTTTTCATTTGGGGGGAACTAGTGGGTGGAAATATAAGTGAAATTGAATCACTGTATGTGTTGAAGAGATACTTTAGAATTTTAGAGCTCCCTTTCAAAAATGGTCTGTTATCTTGCCTAGTTTTCTACTAGGTTGTTGGGTCTTTTATTGATTTGTAGGATCTCTTTATATATTAAGGAAATTTATCTTTGTATGTACAAATATTTTTCCTTAGTTTCCTTTTTTTTTTTTTGACTTTATCTATTCCTTGACTGATCTTTTGAAAATATAATTCAGATCACATCACATCACTTCTCTGCCTGAACAGATTTTAATGGTCTTTGGATAAAGACCAGATCCTCACATCCTCACCACAGCCCACACATCCCAGCTGACTCCTTTGAGTTTCATCTTCACCAGTTCTCTTTGATTTTCATTTTTTAAAATGACTTAATGTTTTCTACATAGGAGACGCATATGTAAGTCACAAAGCAAAATAATCAGTAAGTAATCATGAACCCACCTCTCAAGTAAAAATGGAAACATTCCCAACACTCCTGCATGTCCTTGGTGCTCTGTCCTGATTCCTTTGCCCTCTCTCTCTTCTCCCAGCCGAAACTAGTCCTTTGTCTTTGAAAGAAAAGTTTCATCACATACGTTTTGCTCCTAAAGAATTCACTGTTGAGTTTTTTTTAATAATAGAACAGTTTATTTTTACATCATTTTTTGTTCTTTCCATACTGTTCAGTTTTGTTTGTCATTGTGGACAGCACCAGCCAACACAGTCTTCCAACTTGTGACTTTCTGCTCTTGGGACATTGTTTCCAGACTTGGGCTGTGTTGGTCTGGGCGGCTTGTGAGACTTCCCCATGTCTGTTTGTCTATCTTCCCACTGGTGGACATTTACTTTCTAGATACTAATTTTTCCACAGTGATTCAGGAGCATTCCTCCACACTTGTCTAAACACACACACGATGGTGTCTTTCGGGCACAGAATTTGAGGGTGGTGAGGGATATGTTCACCTTAAGAGATAGTGGCTGGCATTTTCAGTTCACCCAGCATGTCAGTGGAGTAACTGCTAAACAACTGCATTCTTAGTGAACTGCAGGTTCCTTTCGGTCTTCTTGAAGAAAACAAGTACTTCCGTGTGCTGAGATCTCCATCATTTTTTGTCTCTGACCTGTGGGTCATTCGAGGGCCAGTCTCCCCTGGGATGGTTGGGCTCTCTTCATATTTTTTGAGGCTAACTGACAAGGTGCTTACAAGTTTAGAATTGCTCCACGCTCCTGTTCAGTCATGCACTGTGTCATGCTGTATTGTCCCCTGTGTCTCTAATAATCCATCCTAGTCTAGTCAACCTGTCGTAACACAGTATTTCCAACTTTCTTTTTTTCCATCATGGTAGAATTGACATCTATAACATATTGGTTTCATGTATACAACATGATTCTGTATTTGTATATATTGCAAAAATGATCACTACAGCATAGCTAGTTAACATCTATCACCAAATAGTAAAGTTACTTTTCTTGGGAGGAGGACTTTTTAGCTCCAATCTCTTAGCAACTTCATATGTGCAACACCAGCTTTCTTGTGATTAGTATTTGCTATATCTCTTTAACATTCCTTTTCTCTCTTACATTGCAGTATGTTTCCTTAAAAAATATAATAAAAAAGACAGGTATTTGAACTTTCGTTAAGTTCAAAGTTTAATCTCTATACATTTGTTGTGATAACTGACATAGTTTGACCTTGTTTCTAATTTCTTACTTTTTGGCTTTACATATATTCCTTTCCTGTTGTAGCTGTTGATAATGGCTGCCAGCTAATTGTTATTCCTTTATAGGTGATCAGTTTTAACTACCTGGCTGCTTTACGATCTCTTTCTAGTGCAGTTTCACTACAGTGTCTAGGTATGGATTTCTTCATATTTCTCTGGCTTGACATTGTTTGTGTGTGTCATACATTCTGCAGATTTCTCAAACTTTCTCTTCCAAAACCTCCTCTTTTCATTCCCTCGCTTCTTCCTTTCTAGGGCTCTGGTTTAACATATGCTGAATTTTTTGTTCTGTCTTCCTCATCTCTAATTGACCTTCACATTTCCCATCTTCTCGACTTTCTGAGTTGGAGTCTGAGTGATTTTCCCAGATCCAATTCATTCATTCTGCCTTTGGCTGTTTCTAATATACCATTTAACGAACTATCAACCATGTCAGTAATTATGTTTATCTGAGGTAGTCTTCTGAATCTAGCTTTTGTTTCCCATAATCATTTCACACATAACTGACAATGCCAACTTCTGAAGTCCTTTAATTTAAACTTGTCTGGTTTTTCTCTGCTGATTTTCCTTTATGGCAATTTGTTTCCTTGTATGTTTGGTGATTTTGCTTGAGTTCATATTTATTTGCTTGTACTCTTTGGGAAACCTGGGGGCCCAATCTGAGGACTTTTTTTTGCACCACTTTGATTTTTTTCCCTGCCAGATCCCGTCCTGTCTCCACAGAGTCCTGGTATAATCCAGAATCTCAGAATCAGTGCCCCCATGCCCCCTAGTGTCATCAAGGGTTCTGCAGGTGCATTCTTTGGTTCTCTGATAACCACATGTAACTAGAACGTAGAGTTGTCCCAGTGCATGGCATAGGGCCTAGCTGCCACCACACGTTCCTACTTGGGGAGCACAGGATGTCTGATGGGAGTGGGTCGGGTGGGTGCTGAAGCCTGGGCACCACTCTGCACACCCTCTCCTGTCCTCCCCAGGCATGGCCAGCATGACCCAGAACTTGGAGCCGCTCCTGAAGTCGCAGGGCTGGGACTGGGCGTAAGTCCTGGGAAGGGGCTGGGCGGGGGCGGCTTTTGTCCAGTAGACTGTGCACATGGTTACTGGGGCTGCCTGACCCTTCTCTTCTCCCCAGGCTCCCTCTGGTCAAGCTGGCCATTCGCATAGGTCTGGCGTTCATGGGCTCCATACTGGGCGCCTTCCTCACCTTCCCAGGCCTGCGGCTGGCTCAGACCCACCGGGATGCCCTGACCATGTCAGAAGACCGGCCCCTGCTGCAGTTATGTGGGCAGCCTGGTGGGTGGGGTACAGGACCTGGAGAAGGTTAGGGGGACTGTGCTCAGCCTCATCCTCTGCCCTTGCCCCCCAGGCTGCTCCTGCACATGAGCTTCCTGTCCCCCCTGTTCATCCTGTGGCTCTGGACCAAACCCATTGCACGGGACCTCCTGCACCAGATGCCCATTAGGGGGGCACCTGTCTCCCTGTGCGTATGAGGATGGGGTTCGGCATGAGGGCAGAGGGAATCTGTACTCCAGCCTTGGGAGCTGACATGGGAGTCGTGAGTCCTGTGCAAGCTCTGGGGGTTGTGCCCCGGCCACCTTGCTAGCTCGCTGTCCCTTCCCCAGGCTGTCTGACTCTGCCTTCGATTCGATTCGCCTCTGGGTGCTAGTGGCATTGTGTCTACTGCGATTGGCAGTGACCAGGCCACACTTGCAGGCCTACCTGTGCCTGGCCAAGTCCCGGGTGGAGCAGCTGCGGCGTGAGGCTGGCCGTATCGAAGCCAGGGAGATCCAGCGGAGGGTAAGGTGCCCAGGGGGCCAGGGCTCCGAGTTCAGGGCCTGCAGAGGGACCTCACTGCGGCCATCGCTGTTTGCCTACCAGGTGGTGCGGGTCTACTGCTACGTGACGGTGGTGAGCCTGCAGTACCTGACGCCCCTCATCCTCACGCTCAACTGCACGCTGCTGCTCAAGACTCTAGGTGAGGCGTGGGCCGGAATGGGGCGGGGCAGGGGCGGGGCTTGGGGAGGCTGGAGTTGAAGGGGGCGCTGTGGGGGAGTAAGGGCGGAGCCTGGGACTCGGGGAAAGGGTCTGGCAGGGCCAGGGCTCCCCAGATGTGATGGGAGAGGAATCCTGACTGGGGGGTGCGGTGGGGGGGTGGGTAGGTAGGCTGGAGACGAGTGGGGGCGGTGCTGAATAGTGTATGCGAGGTTGAGCCCTCCTGTGCCTCCAGCCAGCCCACTGTCCTCTGTCTTTTCGCAGGCGGCTACTCTTGGGGTCTAGGCTCAGTATCCTTAACGTCCCCCACTCCATCCTCAGCAAGCGATGTTCCAGTGGGTCCTGGGGAAGACGAGGCCCAGCAGATAGCCGCCCGTATCGCCGGCGCCCTCTGCAGCTTGCTCACACCTGTCTTCCTGCGTGGTGTCTTTGCCTTCCTGGTCTGGTGGACTGCCGCCTGCCAGCTGCTCTGCAGCCTCTTTGGCCTGTACTTCCACCAGCACCTGGCTGGCTCCTAGCTGCTTGCTTTCCTGGCCCCTCCCCGTGTGCCTCCGTGTCCCCATTGCAGGGGACTCTGGGCTTGTCCAGCGAGCTGTTCCTTTCACCACAGTGCCTGAGCCATGGCCCCTTGGAATTTGAGAATCTGCTTTGAAACTACTCTCCTGGGCCCTGGACACAGTAGCAGGGATTCTTAGGGTGCTGTGCCCAGTTTGTGGGGGTGGGGGTACTTCTCTGAACAAATAAAAAGGAACAGGTTGCTTTTTTATACACTGGGTTGGACTGTTTTGCATGGTGGTTCCTGTAGGTCCCTGTGGCTCAGGCCACTGGGGACAAAATGGGAACTTGGGGGACAGGCTTCGCTGTGGAGGTCAGCAAAGTCCTGGGAATCAGAAGTGGAGCAGGAGGAATGGGGATAGAAGAAATGCAGCAATGTGAAAGGAAAAGATGAAAGTGGAGGGGAAGAGATAAAGAAGGGAGTAGGAAGAGGTCAAGAAGGAAGGGCTGTCACTGATGACAGGGTGCAGGGTTGGGGAGGAGAGAGGTGAGAGACTGGAGAGAGGGAAGTGTGAGCCAGCAGAGGGAGGTGGGAGATGGGAGTCACAAGTCCCCAAAGGCGTGGGAGGAGGGCTTGGTAAGACCACATGCAGGCACAGGCGGAGGGTTGAGGCCACCCCATGGAGGGGGGTTGAGGAGACTGCTTTTTCCTGTCATTGTGGCCATGGCCACTATAGGAACCTGATGTTATGATGCAAGTGTGTCAACAGCTTGCTACGAACCCAACTTTCCATCAATAAAGGATGAAAGGATCGAATCAGTCACCTTTGGGGATGATAAAGTGCCAATAAACCAGGAGAGATGGGAGCGTGGCAAGGACCACATGTGGAAGTGTGGTGGGAGAGTGGCTTGCAAACAGGCAGCGTCATTTACATGTGTGCCCCTTTAATTCCCTGAGTGCACACATGACCCTCCCCTTGTGGTGTCCCCACTCCTGCACGTAGTTCTGGGCACTGGGCTACGGGTAGAGGAAGTGTCCATAGATGCTGGAGACCTCTGGCGACCTCACCCTCCTGCCCCTGGCAGCAGTGGCCCATATTTGGGTCCAAATCCTCAGAACGAAGCCCCCTGTGCATGACAGACACGCACTGTCCTCAAAGGTGCATGTGTGCACACCTGGCTCTCTGGTGGAGACATGGGAGATAGGTAACAGGGGCTGGGGATGGGAGCTGGGAAGCTGACCTACTTTTTCATCATAAGCTCTTCTGTGCAGTGCTTTAGAAAATCACAGTATGTACAGTAGCCATGGAGGATCCACTCCAAGACCTCCAGTGGCTGCCTGAAAATATAATTGCTCCAAATACCACACAGACCATGTTTTTTCCTAGATACATGCATTTTATAGTGAAGCTTAATTTATGACACAGTATGAGACCACCAAGAATAAGAGAAAACAATTATACTGTTAACAAGTGAAGTGATGTGAATGTGGCCTCATTCAAAATATTTTACTGCATGGGGCATTTTTGAACTCGATTTACTATGGGTAACTGAAACCATGGAAATCTAAATGATGGATAAGGGAGACTATTAATATTTCCCACAATTAAAATTTGATAAATGTATATTTAAAATATATTCATAACAGCAGGCTGCTTTGGCTCATTGGGCTGGGGAGTGAGGTCAGAACCGAAGAGGAGACATAAACAGGAGAAAAAATTATTTTTATTAAATATACTCTCTTGGCACAAATCTTTAAAATATATAAACATTATATATAAACAAAGTGTCTTTATGGCATCAAACGTACTGCAGACCAAGACAAGCAGCCAGTGGGAAGGGAGAGAGAGCCAGTGGAGTGACGGGCTGAGGGTGACACTGCCAGGCCCCCTTGGCCAGCAGCCACTGGGGAGGCACTCCGGGGTCACAGGACTGGCCACAGGGTGCCAAACCATCCATCTGGCATCACACCTGGGTGGACCTGGCCCCTGATGCCATCTCTTGTCTAGGAGGCTTCAGTCCCCATTCTGTCTCTTCCCCTGCCTCTCCTGGGTGCTGGGCAACAGGGTGGGATGTTTACCCAACAGGATAACCCCGATAGTCCCCCGGATAGTCCCCCGTCGGGTGGCCTGGGCCTGGGGGGTGTTGGAGATGAGAGTGGGGTTAGCTGGTAGTCACATGGGCGGAAAGACAGAAAGAGGGGTCTTCACACCCACAGGTCCAAAGCAAGAAGGGAGACAGGGCAGGACTAGAGATGTGCCAAGGGTGCTCCTCAGCTCTTTCACCCAACAGGCTGCCAAGCGCACCGCAGACACCTGCCCTCGGGGGTCCAGTTAGGCTGTGCTGAGAAGAGACCAGGCCAAATTGAAAAAATTAAAAAAAATAAATCAAACTCCAAATGTTACCAGGAAATGGCAGGCCCTGGGGATGGGAGGGGAGGGGAGGGGGATTTCTCCATGAGAAGTGTTACCTGGGGGTGCCCTGGGTATCCCAACTCTTCAGGCTTCCTGCTCCCAGGTTGTACCCTGTCTCTGAGGTTCCCATTTTGGGAGGAAAGAGGCTGCCAGTCACCTCACTGAGTTTCATTCATGGATATCAAACAACCCCATGGGGGCTTAAGTTGCCCCATTTCGTGGCCAAGCACTGGCTCAGGTGGGGAGCCCTGGGTCTCTCCTGGAGCCACTGTGCCTATGGGCAGAGACTCAGGGCTTCTACCCCAAATCCAAGCTTGGCACCCAGTTTTCAGCAGAGGACCCAAGTTGGGGCTCACTACCCAAGCCCTGCTGCCTGGAGGCATTACTAACCCGCAGTGGCGGGCAGCAGAAGGGAAGAACGCCCTCCTGGGCCTCACACTACATACATACACTCCCAGAAGACTGTTCCTAAGTAGGAGCAGATGTAGGGGTTGCGGAAGTCGCAGCAGAGGCAGGACAGGGGCGGGTGGGGCAGGGGTGTACATGGAGCCACAGCTGGCCAGGCAGCCACTCTGCCTGTACTGGGCCTGGGACCAAGCCTCTTTGGGCATCTCGGGCTCCCCTCCCTGCAAGCACAGACTGGGAGAGGAGAGGAAGAGGAGAGGAAGGTGGGTGCGGCAAGGGGATCACTAGAACCCAAGTATGTCCAAGGACTAAAGGTGCCAGGAGGCAACACTGACCACGCCCCCCTACTCAGGCATTTGGGGACACCTGACACCTCCTGGGGAGGGGGGAGCCTGCCCCACAGCCCCTGGCCCTCCTCTCTCAACACTGCACTGCCCGGCCTGGCTGGCCTCTTGGAATTGCCTTTCTGTTCCACAGGTGCCCCTGTGTGACTGCCAGGGTAGAACTGAGTGGACCCTTGCTCCAGGGGCTCAGAAAGCAAAGGGCCGATGTCCAGCGCCCACGGCCGCCGGTTCCATCCCCAGAAGGCTCCTAGCTCTGTAGGCGCCGCAGCAGGATCTGCATGAGGTCGAAGGTGGTGAAGCTGATGCCCACGGCAATGGGGCCCTTGAGCCAGTTCATGCTCAGGCCCTTGTAGAGACCATGCACCACACCCTCCTCCCGCACGATGGTGCGCAGAGTGTGCAAGATGGAGCCGCGAGGGAGGCCCGTGACACCAGCTGTCTGCATGCGCCGTCGCACCACGTCCAGGGGGTATGAGGCCGACTGCCCGATGAGACCAGCGCAGGCCCCAAAGATCATGCGCTCGAAGGGGTACGGCTGCCGGTGGCTGCTGTACTCTGTGAGTGAGGGCAGAAGGGTGGTGAGGGCAAGCTGAGGTCGCACACCTCTGGATCCCGCTCTGGAACTGCCCGTACCCTGCATCCACACATCTAACCCCCCAAAGCCCATTCCCGCACGTGGTACCCCTGCACCCCCACACAACCCTTCACTGTGTCACCAACCCATTTTAAGCCATGGGCTTCCTGCTTCCTTACCTCCCTGTCACATTTTAATCAAATTTGAGAAATAAGAGCACAGAAAATAACCACGTCCCAAGATCCAGAATAATCTCTCCCATCTGTCCAGTCAAGAAAACACCTTCAGAAGCTAATCTTTATAGTGGCTCCAATGAAAGGATGCATGGAGGGTGAACACGGCTTTTTAAAAATGTAAAAATGGTGAGGAACTACGATTCACTCACCAGTTGGCAGGCACTAAGGAAGCTGACAGCCTGGTTTAGGGGGGCAGTGGGGAGCGGCCACAGGGCGCGAACAGCTTCCCAGGCGCAGTGGGCGCAGAGTGGGGCGGCCTGCGGGTGTCGCACCCACACAGGAGAGCCCCAGCACGTGCATTAGTCAGAGGAAACCTGGCCACAGCTAACAGCTCTGGCAGCGGAGGTGAGCCCATGGCCCACGCCGTGGACAGAGCCGTCCAGGCAGGGCTGAAGTGGTCAGAGCGTAGACACGCAGCTCTGTTCCCCTTCACAACCAGGAAACTTCCCGGTGCTCCCTCCACTCTGGGTGTAGGCAGAAGTGATTGCGACCTTCCTGTGGTCCCCAATCCTGATGAGGAGGCCCGGGGTGGGGGTGGGGCAGGGGCTAGGGATGTTTTCTCTCCTTAGCAAATGTCTTGGAGCAAATGAGCAGAAGTCACCTGTAGATCACACTTGTTCCTGTAGGTTGGCAGGTGTGGGTGAGGTAATACCACTCCCTGTGTTTTTCTGGATTTTTCAAATTTCTCAAAATTACCAATATAAGAGACCCTCTTCCGCTTTGCTCGCCTGTGCACACACCACACCATACACACCAAAGGCCAGTGCACTGGGTAACACTGGACTTTGCCAGCTGTCCTAAAGCCTAAACTGAGGTGTTAAAGCTGCAAAGCTGGACCCCTCGGGCATGCCTGATGAGATGAATGCGTCTCTCTAGATAGGGACTTAGGCCCTGCCTGCCCCTCCTGGGGCCTCCACTTGGGAGGTCCGTGTGACCCTGGAAGGGGTCCCCCTACACTCCTATTACCTCTGTGCAGGCTCTTGAGGGTCTCATAGGTGAAGAAGCTCAGGCCAGCATAGGGGATGACCCCCAGCATGGTGGGCGTGAAGCCGTGGTACAAGGTCTTCAGCCCCTCTTCTCGGGAGATGCGAATGAAAACATGAAAGATGTTGCTGTACCTGTGGGACAGAGCGACGTGTGGGAGGCTGTAGGCCTGGCAGTGGAGGGACAAATCCCAGTCTCCACTCAAATTATCCCCCTCGCATGTGCTGACAAAGTCAAATTGCCAAAGCCATGGACTTGGAGAGGAAAAGCACTGGGTATAGAAAGCCTAGAAAGTATGAGCACCATCTAGGCCCAACTCAAAACAAAGGCTTGGCTTGCTAGAGCCAGGCTGGAGAAGCTATAGAAATGCATACCTGGGGCCCTCCCTGGTGGCAAAACGAGTTGAAGCCAGGCACTGTGAGGCAACTCTGCTGCAGCACTTGGGTCCCCAGCCAGAGAGCTGACCCACACAGTGCAGCAGACCTCTCCTGTCTCACCCACGGCTCCCCTTAGAAGTATATTTTGGTTGATCTGCCTGCTCTGCTCCCCGCTCTTTCTCTGTTGAATTTTCTTATCCCCTCCTCCCTGTACCTCTGGCCTGTACCCCAGTTCCTATACACATAAAAAAAAAAAAAAAAGAACTGTGGCCCTCCCTGGTGGTACAGGTTATAGCACAGCACTAATAAGCTAAAGCCACTTCCGCATGAGTTCGATCCCCATCCCGGATGGGGCAGACCTCTCCTGACCCGCCCGCTGCTCCCCTCTGCAGTGTACTTCGTTGATCTGCCTGTTCTGCTCCCCACTCTGTCTCTGGCCCTCCCTGGTGGTACAGGTTATAGCACAGCACTAATAAGCTAAAGCCACTTCCGCATGAGTTCGATCCCCATCCCGGAGGTGACCACAAGGCGCGGCAGACCTCTCCTGACCCGCCCGCTGCTCCCCTCTGCAGTGTACTTCGTTGATCTGCCTGTTCTGCTCCCCACTCTGTCTCTGGTGTAGCCTCCCACTGCCCCTGCACCTCTGGCCTGTAGCCCAGCTCTGTGTGCGTAAATGGATAAATCTTTAAAAAAAAAAAAAAAAAAAAGAACTTCATACCTGCCTGTTGTGCCAGGCAGGGAGGGGGTGGATTCTCAGCACAGTTTTTGTGCAGCCAGGGCCTTTCAGAGGGACCCAGTGGGGAGCCCCCCTAGCACAGAGGGCCCATCACCATGGTGGGACTCACATTTCCTTTGGGGTCACAGCCATTCGAGCTCTCACTAGGTCCAGGGGGTAGGTCAGTGAAGCAGCGGTGGTTCCAGCCAGTGCCCCTGCGAGGAGGCGGGGCCAAGGGGGCAGGGCTCTGAAATGTGGGGGCCAGAAGGTGAGACCCCAACACCTGAGAAGGGCAACCTGCTCCGGGGCCTACAGGTCTCGGGCTGGGGAGCCGAGGCCCAGGCCTCTGGGGTGGATGCGCTCTGAGGCTCCCTAGGCCGCCTTCCTTCCCCTGCTGCGTGCATCCGTGAGTGAGGTGTGCTTCCCTCTGAGCTCTGCCTGCAGTGGGAATCGGGGTTGGGCGAGGGGGTGCTGGGGGGACTCTGAGAGGGCCTGGGGTGGGGGCAGGGGCCTCACTCTCCGTGGAAGCCGTAGTAGCGGCCCAGGACACGCTTGTATTCCTCGTGCGCGCTGAACTGGATGGCCGCGTAGGGCACCACACGCACCATGGTGGCCGAGTTCCCTCGCCACAGGCTGAGGAAGCCCTCGTTGAGGTAGGTGAAGTAGAGGAGCCGGAAGGCTTCCTGGGGGGAGTGGAAGGGCAAAGTCAGTGCCGCCCCGGGCATTCTCTGCACCAGCAGAGCGTGGGCCCCCTCCCCAGCCCTCAGACTCCACCACACAGACCCCACCTCCACCTGTACACCCCCCTTTCCCACTCTTTGAACCCCTCACCCTTTCCTACCCAGTCTTACCTGCCCCCCACCACCCAACATGCTCTAGGCCCTATGAGAGAACCCCCACCCCACACGCTGATTATTGCAAAGTGCACCCTAGAAACCAGGTGAGCAAAGTGGACTCAGATCCCAGATCAGTGGGTGTTGTTGGTCTCTGCTAGTCTAGCTTTTAAAAATACCCCAGCTTTTCATTGATTAAGAGCTCTCTGTTTAAAAATAAATCAAATAGGAAAACATGGGTTTAGGGCATCAAGTTCCTGTCCCAAAGAAAGGGGACTTCAGGCTAATCTCTAGGGTGGCTGCATCAGACATTCCCCCGGGTGCTGGGATAGGAGGCTTTGGGCCTGGCAGGAACCAAAGGTGGAAAGAACCTTGGAAGCACTGTCCCCTATTCCTGCCAACCCACTGGGCAGATGGTGACCTAGTGCTCACCTTGGCAGAAAATCTTTTTGAAGACACTGGAAAAAACCAGAAACACAACAGATTGTTAGATGGCTGGGATGAAGCCCTTAGTCTGTATGACCCCCAGGGCTGGGGTCCACTCTGAGCTTGGGGAGCGAGAACGGCCAGAGACTGTTGTCCACCCAAGGCCCAACATCTCTACCAGGGCTGTTCCCCACCCCTCTCCCATGGGAAACACTACCCCCCAACCTCTGTAAACAGGAGGGTCTTTGTAAGAGCCCGTGGAACGATGTGCCTGGGGGCGGGTGTCAATGCTCAGCACCCCCACTTCAGCAGACTCCAGTTTAACCAAACCCCTTTGGGGAGGGCATCCTGGTCTGGGTCACTGTCTCCTCAGTCAGGGGGCTCTGCTCCCTCAGGATGAAGCGAGGCTGCCTAACTCTGGTCTCCCTTTTCTCCAGGCCTCTACAGATAAGCTAACCTCCTCCACGACTGCCCCCTTGTACCTTTCTGAGGTACACCTTGCCCCCAGCTCTAGAGCCATGCTAGTGCCGGAACCCACCGGGGTCTGGCAGCCGTCCTCACTTCCACATCTGCCCTGTGCCCAGGCCACCTTGCTCTCTGGTCGTGGTGTACACTGCCCTGGCTGAACATAGCTCCCCGTGGGGAGGCAGGGAAGCTGCTCCTTCCCACCTCACTCACTCCTGGGGAGGAAAGTTTTATGAGGAAAGTGAGCTACGGAGAGGCAAGGGGACAGACTCAGCATGGAGAGGGCCTAGCTTTTCGGCTTCCTCTCCTCCCGTACAGTGCAGGGGCAGCGGCCTGATTGAGGTGGTCACCATCTGCAGTATGGGAAGGCCTCATCTTCAGGGGACCCTCTGCCCTTAAGGTACATGGAGAGAATTCTTGAGCTGTGCCCCCAAGAGATATATCCACACCCTCATTCCCCAGTACTGGCGAATGTGATCCTCTTTGGAAACAGGGTCTTCACTGTAGTAAGCAGATTAAAATGAAGTTATGCTGGGCTAGGACGGGCTCTCATACTAGAAGGCTGGTCCTTCCTCTAAGAGGGGAGTCAGGGACTCGGGAGATACAGACACAAGGCAGAGAGCTTTGAAGAAGGCTGTCTCCTCCCCGGGAGCCCCCAGCAGGAACTGACCTAGGGGACACCTTGGTTCTCAACTCTGGCCTTTAGAATGGGGGGGAATAAATCCTGTGTTCTCAGTTACCTAGGGGGGTCTTTTGCATGGTAGTCCTGGGGCACAAAGAGTTTCCTTGTGGATTTTAAAGAGACATTTAAAAAAACAAGTTGTAGCAGTTTGGGGACTTTGGATGAGGAGGGGACCAACCCGCAGCTTCTCTATCACAGACACACACACAAAGAGCACTTACCTTGGAAGATGATTTTGGTTCTGTCCAGGGGGGCTACTGCTGTCTTGGCGAGAGCTCCCGCCAGTGCCCCAGACAGCAGAGAACTAAGGACCTGCCTGTGGTCACTCTGTAAGAAAATACAAGACGCTGTCTTCAGAGAGGGGCAGGGAGCTCTGCTGGGGACAGCACCCGAGGGTGTCTGTGTCACCCACACTCCCCGCCCCAGCCAGGGCCTCAAAGTGCACTTGCCAGAAGGGGGCAGCAGGTGGCGAGGTACAGGCCCAGCCCACATGGGAGGCAACAGGATGTCCCACCAACTTCCAAGTTCTTGCAGTTGCCCGCCCCCATTCTCACCCCAAATATCAATATAAGTCATCCCACCCAAGTGCAAACTTTGGCCCACCCACCTCCATGTATGCAGGGCTTGGTGCTCTGGCATTTCAGAGTGATGGGGTGGGGAGAAGGGCAAGGGATGTCAGACAAACAGAAGTTGACTGTGTGCAGAGTTTTCTATCAGGACTTCAGGGCAGTGTCTTTGGTTTCTCATCCAGCAAGTGGGGGTGAGGAGATAGGGGTGCAACTTGATCTGCTCCATAGCCAGCTCCCCATCAGTGCTCCTCTATGTCTTCTTAAGCTCCCTGGCTCCCCCACCTCCCAACAGTCAACCTTCCTCCCTTCCTTTCTCCTCAATGTCCAATGGAGCCCTGAGGGGTCTCACAGGAAGTCACCTGCTCATCAGGCTGGGATCTCCATTCCTGCAGTGACTCAGCCAAAGAACTCTCAGGGAGCAGCCGCGGGGGACATGCTGGAGTGGTCTGACTGGAGGTATTCCCATCCCCCCTCACTCCAAAATGAGCAAGCATGGCAACAGAAAGCCATTCAATGATCCTAGAAGCTGTGAAGTCTGATTCGGACCGGGCATCCTGAGGGGCCTAAGGGGATACGGTATGGAGTGGGGGTACATTTGAGTACTTCCCACACCCCCAGAGGACTGTCAGTTCTGAGAAGAGCCAGAGATGAACTTTCAGACATGCACAGAGTCACCAACCCAGAGGGGATATGAGGAGGGGGCTTAGGGTTCTAGGAGAACTTACAGTAGGGATGGGGGCGAGGATGAAGGATCTGGAGACAGTCTTAGATGAGAGAGAGCAGAGGGTCTGGGAGATCACAAATACCGGGGATGACAAAGGGATAGATGGGGACACAGAGGAGAGAGAAGTGACAGGTAGGGGACTCCCCACAGAGTTGGGGAGAGTTGCAGCAAGGAGGCCCGCTTTGCCCAAGGGGAGATGGAGAAGCGTAGAAGGTCAGGGAGATGGAGAAGCGTGGAAGGGCGGGAGGTGGAGAAGCGTGGAAGGGCGGGAGG